TGCTGAAGTTGCTTATCAGTTTGTGAAGATTTGGGGCTGAGATGATGGGGTCTTCTAAATATACAATCATGTCATCTGCAAATAGAGACAGTTTGACTTCCTCCTTTCCTAATTGAATACACTTTATTTCTTTTTCTTGCCTGATTGCTCTGGCTAGAACTTCCAATACCATATTGAATAGGAGTGGTGAGAGAGGGCATCCTTCTCTAGTGCCTGATTTCAAAGGGAATTCTTCCAGCTTTTGCCCATTCATTATGATATTGGCTGTAGGTTTGCCATAAATAGCTTTTATCATTTTGTGATATGTTCCATTGATACCTAGTTTATTGAGAGTTTTTAGCATGAAGGGCTGTTGAATTTTGTTGAAGGCCTTCTCTGCATCTATTGAGATAATCATGTGGTTTTTGTCTTTGGTTCTGTTTATGTCATGGATTACATTTATGGACTTGCGTATGTTGAAGCAGACTTGCATCCCCAGGATGAAGCCTACTTGATCGTGATGAATAAGTTTTTTGATGTGCTGTTGCATTTGGTTTGCCATTATTTTATTGAAGATTTTTGCGTTGATGTTCGTCATGGATATTGGCCTGAAGTTTTATTTTTCAGTTGAGTCTCTGCCTTGTTTCAGTATCAGGATGATGTTGATCTCATAAAGTGAGTTGGGGAGGATTCCCTCTTCTTATATTGTTTGGAATAGTTTCAGAAAGAATGGAACCAGCTCCTCTCTGTACGTTTGGTAGAATTTAGCTGTAAACCTGTCTGGACCTGAACTTTTTTTGGTTGGTAGGCTACTGATTGCTGCCTTAACTTCAGCCCTTGTTATTGGTCTATTCAGGGTTTCAACTTCCTCCTGGATTAGTCCTGGTAAAGTACAAGTGTCCAGGAATTTAACCATTTCTTCTTGGTTTAGTGGTTTATGTGCATAGAGCTGCTTGTAGTAATCTCTGATGGCGGTTTGTATTTCTGTGGGATCAGTGGTGATATCCCCTTTATCTTTTTTTATTGCAACTATTTGATTCTTCTCTCTTTTCTTTTTTATTAGTCTGGCTAGTGGTTTGTCTATTTTGTTGATCTTTTTTAAAACTCAGCTCCTGGATTTATTGATTTTTTTGAAGGGTTTTTTGTGTCTCTGTCTCCTGCAGTTAGGCTCTGATCTTAGTTATTTCTTGTCTTCTGCCAGCTTTTGAGATTTTTTGATCTTCCTCCTCTAGCTCTTTCAATTTTGATGATAGGGTGTCAGTTTTAGATCTTACTTTGTTTCTCATGTGGGCATTTATTGCTATAAATTTCCCTTTCAACACTGTTTTAAAGGTGTCCCAGAGATTCTGGTAAGTTGTGTCTTCATTCTGATTGGTTTCAAAGAACATCTTTATTTCTGCCTTCATTTCATTGTTTATCCAATCAACACTCAGAAGCATGTTGTTCAGTTTCCAAGTGGTTGTGTGGATTTGAGTGCGTTTCTTAATCCTGAGTTCTAATCTGATTGCATTGTGGTCTGATAGACTGTTTGTTATGATTTCCGTTCTTCAGTGTTTGCCGAGGAGTGATTTCCTTCCAATTATGTGGTCAATTTTAGAGTAAGTGTGAAGTGGTGCTGAGAAAAATGTATATTCTGTGGATTTGGGGTGGAGCATTCTGTATATGCATATTAGGTCCATTTGGTCCAGCTCTGCATTCAGGTCCTGGATGTCCTTGTTAATTTTCTGTCTTGTTGATCTGTCTAATATTGACAGTGGAGTGTTAAAGTCTCCCACTATTATTGTGTGGGAGTCGAAGTCTCTTTGTAGGTCCATTAAAGACTTGCTTTATGTGTGTGGGTGCTCCTGTATTAGATGTGTATATATTTAAGATAGTTAGCTCTTCTTGTTGGATTGATCCTTTTACCTTTATGTAATGCCCTTCTTTGTCTCTTTTGATCTTTGTTGGTTTGAAGTCCATTTTAACAGAGACTAGGATTGCAACCCCTGCTTTTTTTTGTTCTCCATTTGTTTGGTAAATCTTCTTCCATCCCTTTATTTTGAGTCTATATGTGTCTTTGTATGTAAGTTGGTTTTCCTGAATACAGAACACCAATGGGTCTTGACTTTTTATCCCATTTGCCAGTCTGTGTCTTTTGATTGGGGTGTTTAGGTCATTTACATTCAATGTAATATTGTTATGTGTAAATTTGATCGTGCCATTTTGTTACTGGCTGGTTTTCTTGCCCATTAGTTGACTCATTTCCTTCATTACATTTTTGGTCTTTGCCATTTGGTGTGCTTTTGCAGTGGCTGGTACCTGTTCCTTTCCATGCTTAGTGTTTCTTTCAGGAGGTCTTGTAGGGCAAGTCTGGTAGTGACGAAATCTTTCAGTAATTGCTTGTCCATAAAGGATTTTATTTCTCCTTCGCTTATGAAGCTTGGTTTTGTTGGATATGAGATTCTGGGTTGAAAGTTCTTTTCTTTAAGGATGTTGAATATTGGCCCCCACTCTCTTCTTGCTTGTAGGGTTTCTGCCAAGAGATCCACTGTGAGTCTGATTGGCTTCCCTCTGTGGGTGACTTGACCTTTCTCTCTGGCTGCCCTTAGCATTTTTTCCTTCATTTCAACCCTGGTGAATCTGACGATTATGTGCCTTGGTGTTGCTCTTCTTGAGGAATATCTTTGTGGAGTTCTCTGTATTTCTTGGATTTGAATGTTGGCCTGCCTTGCTAGGCTTGGGAAGTTCTCCTGGATAATATTCTGGAGTGTGTTTTCCAGCTTGGATTCATTCTCCCTATCATATTCAGTTATATCAATCAAGCGTAGATTAGGTCTTTTCACATAAACCTATATTTCTTGGAGGCTTTGTTCATTTCTTTTCACTCTTTTTTCCTCTTGTCTTGCTTACTCATTTTATTTCATTGAGTTTATCTTCAATCTCTGATATCTTTTCTTCTGCTTGATTGATTCGGCTATTAAAACTTGTGTTTGCTCCATGTAGTTCTTGTGTTTTTCAACTCCATCAAGTTGTTTATGTTCTTCTCTAAGCTGGTTATTCTAGTTAGCATTTCATCTAACCTTTTTTCAAGGTTGTTGGTTTCTTTGCATTGAGCTAGAACGTGTTCCTTTAGCTCAGAAAAGTTTGTTATTATCCACCTTCTGAAGCCTGCTTCTGTCAATTCGTCACACTCTTTCTCGGTCATGTTGTGTTCCTGTGTTGTTGAGGAGTTGTGATCCCCTAAAGGAGAAGAGGTGTTCTGGTCTTAGATGGTTTCATCTTTTTTGCACTGTTTTTTTCCCATCTTCGTGGGTTTACCTGGCTGTGATCTCAGCGAGCTGACTGATGTGGTCGCTTGTCTGCCTGTCAAGGTGCTACTGGGTTTCTAAGGACTCCTTCAGGTTACTAGGTAAGCTTCCTGTGTCTTTTTTGTTTACAATGCGAGGTTAGGCCCACCTCTTCCACTGACCTGGAGATGCTGCTGGGTTGTCAAGAACACTGTCCGTTGCTATGTACGTGGGCTTCCTGTGTTTTTTGTTAAAACATGAAGCCTAGTCCCACCTCTTTGTTGGTGGGTTGTGTCTTTCTTCCACAGAGCTGGATCATTCAGGCTTCAGCTCAGACTGAGGCATTGGCTGTGTAACCTGCTAGAGTTAGTGCTTCAGGGTTTGTGGGGGAGGGTAGGGACCCACCCAGCCACACCATCTGTCTCCCCACTTTCTACTCCCTCTCTCTCTGGTCATGGGGAGGAGGCCACCAGCTGCTTCATCTGTCTTCCCACTTTCAGCTCACTCTTTCTCTCTGGGCAGGGGGAGGGGTGTGATAGCTTGGTCTGCAGGCTCTCCCTGCTGGCTTATGGGCTTATGCATTTGCTTAGATCTGTGCACCAATCCGGACACCATCCTGGATTATTATTCGACTCTGTACTTGTAATTCCCAGCACTTGACTGGCAAAGATCCCCTGTTCCCTGTATTGCTGAGGCTTTGGGGGAAGCGCTCAATCTGGACTGGAATGCCAGAGGGGTAGCCTCCAATTCACCGGTCAGATACACCTTCTGGGTGAAGCGGCACCCCTCCCCACCTCAGTCTGCCCTGCTGGGCTTTGCTCACCGTCCAACCAGACCCTTTGAAATGTACCTGGTACCTCGGTTGGAGCTAGGAGATCCCTTGATTTCTGTGTCTCTCGATTTCTGTGTCTCTCTTGTTGGGTGTTGTGCACTGGAGTTGTGTCTATTTGGCCATCTTGACTCCCTCCCCTCCCTTTATAACTCTTATGAAATTTACAATCAGGTATTTATATTTGTGGTTATCTACATGTATTGTTTTTGCTGGATTATAACCTCAGTGAGGGCAGGGGACTGTGTCCATCATTTTCAGGTTCTTATGACTGCAACCTGACATAATGCCTGGCACATGGAATATGATTTGTAAATTACTCTCAGATGAATGGATAAGTTAAAAAGAGAATGAGCTCTTACCATGTACTATTATGCTAGAGACATTACTTATGGATGATAAACCAATGTTAGAATGGTCATTTTCCAATGTGCATTTACCTCCAAGCACAGGCAGATACGAAATGAGTACAAGAGTATATTTTAATTGTCAATAGAGTAGATATGAGGAAGTTTGCTTACCAGATCAGGGGAGGGGGGCTGCACGGAGGGATTATATAAGTAAATGGAAAAGATGAAAAAACAAGTTTGATTTCCTCACCCTTTAAAATGAAGTGTGCAAATGAGGCAATTTGCTATGATTACAGAATTCCCTTCGCAGCTGTTCCTCCTCTACAATGTGACAACCTGTATAGATTTTTTGCCTTAGGTATGTCAGAACACATAAAATGTCTAGGTGGTAGAAATAAGCATCCTGTTTGCAGGGCTCATGAGGAGGGCAAGTGGTAGATTCTCTGCAGTTCTGGAACCCATTGTGAACCCCAAGTCACGGAGACTCTAGCATATTGGCTGAGCATGCTCAGCCCATAATGTGCCCAAATTGTTAGAACAACCTACCCTTGAAACAAACAAAACACAACAATAAAATAAAATAACTGACAAATCGTCTTTAATAAATAAGCAAATAGCCTACATAGATACAGTTGCTTGTCTGTTGCACATGAGTGATTCCCCTTTCTCTTGGGAAAGATCACTTCATGTGATAAGGTGCAAGCTAAGCAGCAGCCCGTTTGAATGCCCTGTGATCATGTAAAGATGACGGGCAAGATACAGAGTTCATGCTCAAGTTCCCTTGAGTGTGTCTCGAGTCACAGCATAGGCAGGAGAAAACAAACCATTTCAATTCACAGAGACTTAGGTAAAGAATTATTAGCTTCATTTAAAATGCCATATTGTACTTTCTACATTTCTCTCTTAACAATTAAACCAGCTGTTACCCTTCAAAATGTGTGTCACTTTCTTTGCATTTGGGTCAAACTCCAACTGTGAAGATCCAGTGAAGAAATAAAAAAATCCTGCAAATACAGACAAGGGAAATAATAAGACATTTTTTCAAATAAAAATATTTGACAATATATGAAACTCAGAATCATAAAGAACTAAAAATAGAAAGCATTTATAGATTTTGCTTTTTGTCAGGGACTATGCCAAGCATGTTACATGAATTTCTTTTCATTTATTTCTGCAACTACCCTGTGAGGTTGTATATCTAACTCCATTTACAGATTGAGCAAGTTGAGGTTTAGACAGATTTCGATGCTTACTCAAGGTTACTTAACAAGAAAGGTTGGAGACAGCACTCTGTGCCAGCTCTGTCTGACAGCAAAGCCAGGTTCCAAGTTACAAGATTATTCCGCTTCCAATCAGATAACATTCTGCACTTGCTTGGAAACTCTAATTACCAATTTCTTTCTTCCCAACAAATCTCCCTTTTTCCCACATTGCAGCCTAAGAAGCACAGCAACTATTTCAAAACGCCAGAGGACCCTTTAATGCTCTGCAAACATGGTGATCGGGTTACCTTTCAATAAAGATGATCGGCCTCCACTCACCTACTGTGAGTAGAAAAAAAAATCTTCTTTATTAAACTTTGGGCACATAGAAAGGTATTTGCAAATGACCAGCACAGGCAATGACTGACAACTCAGGAAAGACAGAAAAAGAATCTCCTTGGGAATTAGTAGCAACAATAAGATTGGGTGGAGAAGGCCAGCCAACCAGTATTAAACCTGGCCACACCACTTGAAGGGATTTTTATGCTAACATGGTAATCTGAAAGTTGAGCTTGACTTCACGTTAGCTTTAGATGTGAGTACGTGACATTCAAACACTGGGATTTTATATGCATATATAAGGTAAAATGGTAAAATTTGTGTAATTTTCTTTATGATTCCAAACAAGTTATTTTGTGAAGTAGTTCTATAATGAGTACAAATATAGGTGAATCAAAATTTTGGAGGCAACTGGCCTTAAAAAAAAGCTTGTTATTAAAAACTTTCAATGCTCCTCTTCCCTCTGATATCATAAACATTTCAAGTGCACCATGGCCAAAACAGTAAGTATTCTCTTACCAAATTTTTCAAAAACAGCATCAACCTTTGAGTCAATCCCTGGGAAGTCTTCAGCTATTTGCTTTGGAAAGCCTGGCTCCATGGAATGCCTCTTCTCATCAAATCTGTACCGAGTAAAAGAAACAGCTCAGGATTGCATAGAGGCCATGTTACCAAACTTCTGAAATCATGTTAGGTTTAATGTGGAATTCCACTAAACTTCATAAATACAGCAAATAAATGCCAAGCATATTTGGGAACATAGAAATATGTGACTTGAATGGTACTGCGAACCATTCTTAAAGGCATATCTCCATCCAGAACAGGGTCAGCATCCTGCTATATGTAGCACATGCTGTTTGTCATCATAATTCTTAAGCCTGGACAGAAAGAACCTTACTCATCTTTCTGTCACGAAGACATGAAAGTGTGAACATATATATGAAATTTCCTACCACGATTGGCCAATATATACCTGCCCTTCCCACCCTGCACATTTAAGCCTTCTATGGTGGCCTCTTGGGAAAAGGGATTAGGATTAAAAGCAAATTAAGTGTGTTTTTAGCCCATGGGTCAGATAACAGATGGTCAGCCTCGATATCTCAAAGTCTGGGCAGATGACCCAGGAATCAGCTTGTTTGTGGGTTTATGTATCCATAAACTGGACTACTGTTGCTCATTATCTCTTAAATGTGCCATCATTATCAAGCAGAGGTAACAAATGGGTGAGGTTAGAGGTAGCCTTTGAAAATCATATAGTAGTGTTAGGAAGACAAGACAAACACACAATGAGACAGTAAACATACAGTGAGACAGTGAGCTGAATCATAAGTCAATGGAAAGGGAATGCTAAATTGTGGCCTGGATTCTCAGGACATTTTCCCAATTGAGTCTAACTAAAGTTCACAAGGGAAAGCTACATGGAGGTGATGAGACTTGAGCTAGGACTTGAAGGCTGGGCAGGATTTGAATGGGTTGAGGAGAGAAAGGGGGCTCCAGGCAGGTGGGGCACCAAGGGAAGCACCAGCGAACTGCACTTGGGACTCAAGGCAGGAGAGCTTATGGTGCTTCTATATTTTAAAGTAAGAACTTTCCCACAGTTGTCTGAAGTCCCATCCTTCCTCCTTAGAGAGAAGCAGGCCTAAGGTTGGGGTGGGGGATTTCCTTAGAAAAAAAAAATAATTTTCCTAACTAGGCTTCACACAAAGTCATTTCTCTTGCATCTCACCTCCAGTATTTGTCCTCTACAAAGAAGTATGTTTTCTTCTTTTCTTTATCAGAAATGGCTGCATCAATTTTCCTTACAGTTGGAGGGAAACCTAGGGTATGGATGCCTCTTGGGTATCCAGCTTGTACCTCATTTCCTCTGATGGCCCAGAACTGATTTCCTGTTAAATATCAATAATTCAGAGTCATATTGAATTATAACAGTTAAGCCTTTTAGCTTTAGAAATACACTTTAGCATCTTTGATTATCATGGTAAAGAAGTTGCCCAAATTTTAGATTTAATCACCAGCTCATAGTGGGCTTTTAGCAAAAAATTTGCAGACTGAATGAATGAACCAAGGTCAAATGAGAAAATTTACAATTCTGGGTAATCATCTTCCTTTCTTTATTTTTATCATCTATAAAATATAAGTACAATAATATCAGCCCTGGTTGTTACTTCATTACCTTTGACTACTGTACTAACCAGAACTTGATGTAGTAGAGAAAATTAAAGTGTTGTTTAATTTCTTGTGAGAGAGCTTATTCTGGCAAGTTAAAGAAATGATGATAGAATAATTACCTTTAAAAATGAAAACAAGATCCTTGCTAGTAACTTCGTATGCAGCATCCATGCCTGAAGGAAGAGACGGCCAAAACGAAGAGATCAAATACAATTCAGGTTCAAGCTTCCTGAGAGATTTGCGCCAAAAGTGCCTAAAAGATATGTAAAAAGAAGTGTAAATTGAAACACAGTCCTTTACCTTTAGAATATTTTCCTCACCGCCTTGCCTCACCCAGCTTCCCCCATTTTCCCATCTTCTAGGCTGGATGACAGATAGAAATCAGGTATATTGCCATTAGAAAATTTCTTTCCTTTTTCTTCAGAAGACTGCAGTGAGTCTCCTGTCATAGGTTCCAGAGTAATGTCTTCTATGAAAGAAAAGTTGTTCTTCATGCAAATGAATTATCCCAGGATAAGCTGTTATATGCTGTTCAAAAAGCTAGGCAGTGTGTATGTATGCATATGTGCTGTATAAATATATTCTTATATATGCATAGAATGGTTCTGGAAGGATGCAGAAAGTGTCTTGACTGTGGACGAATACAGGGAGAACTAGGAACTAAAATTGTTAGTTTTCTTCTAATTTGTGCTGTTTGAATGTTTGTCATGTGCATATTGATCCACCAGTAAGTAAATTAATTGATTAAATGTAATGTTGATCCTGATGTCATTTTTGAAGGAAGTAAAAATAAAATTATTATTCTAAAGACCTACTCATGCCTTTTGAAAAGCAACCGTGGCTTAAGGCATTTGGAAATAACAATTAGAAGACAGGAACCAGATCATCCTGAGCCTTCAAAAATGAACCTGACAGTTTCAGGAAAACGTGGGAAAAGGCAGTGCCATATCTAAATGATTTCAAGCTCGGAAGTTTCTGTTTGTTTTCCTTTCCAAGCATTGTAGATTAAAATGATAGAGAGGAAAATATAAGTTTTTAGTCTGACCTGTCTTTAAAGAATAGGATTTCTCCTCTCAGAGTGCTGATGGCATCAAAGGACAAAGCAGGATCGCATGCGGCTGGTGTCTCAGTTTCTGGAGGGACAGTTTCCTTGGGCACCAGAGGTTTCTCAGGGGAACCAGGGTGAGGTCCTGAAGGGGAACATTAGGAGAAATGTGATACGTTTCAATATATGCCAATTTGTATGCTTTCCAAACATTCTCAAGGTGCTTTAAACTAAACCATAGATACTTTATGTAGCATTTGAAAGCTTTTCTAAAGACCATCATTGCAAAGCTACAATGGCTAATTTTCCCAGCATCACTCACCATAGAGGGACTGAATGCCATTCACGTCATCTTGAGACAGGTGAAACTGAGTCAGGTCTGTGAGTGGGTTGTAGACTGGGTACATCAAAGCTTCAGTGTTGTCTGAGTGAAAGAGACCCAGGGTGTGGCCAAGTTCATGAGCCACAACGAGGAATAAATTGGTCCCTATTTAAGAAATCAAAAACAATAGTCACTTACTTTTTAAATACATGTACATTATACAGGTCTGCTGTGCATTGTATTGGTTGTTACTTCTTGGAATCACACAGGGCTTTTTTCACCTTGTTTGTTGGTTAATTGAACAATTGACTAATTACACACTTAATGGAAAGCTAAGTGTATTTTAAAACCCATAGTTGAAATCAATCTTTGAGATTGATTTTCCAGTTACATTCACTTGCTCCCATACCCCTGAACCCACCCCCAGCCTCACAACCATATTAACTCCAGAAGAATCAGGCCCTTTTTCTTGTGTTAAGGAATGGAATTAACCCACTTGTTTAGCATATGTTTATCTTCATTTGCCAATGCAAAGCTAAACACTGTTTTAATATATTTACATTTGCCATTTGCAGTCTCAGTTAAAGGAAACTATATTCATCTTAATCCATAATGTCTCAGCCTCATCATCATGAAGTACACATTAAGACTAAAAACATGCATAATGATAGATGTCATAGAATTTGAAAAATTGCTTTAAAACACAGCATGCCCAATCATGTCTAACATTTGTTACAAAAGAGATTTAGAATAACAAACACTGGCTTTATTCAAAACTTTTTCCTTCATATTTTTAAAAGCACCCATAAATGCTAAAATTGGGAGTCATTGGGTAATTATAATCAATACAGTAATTACTATGTTACTAGTACTACTTGTGTAACTTGTGATGCTAGGAAAAAATCTCATTTGAGACTTTGAAGGAAGGTTTCTTTGCAAGAATTAATTAACTCAACCAAATCAAGAATTTTATCCAGCACTAAACTCACATTTGTACATCCTACAGAGGTTTACATTTTCATTTTAAATCCCAGTTAAACCTCAGATGTAGTATTAATTGTTTTCCTATTTTTTAGAAGTAGTATTGTTTTAGCTAATTTTTTGAAAACTTTGGATGTCATTCCCCAAAATATACAGTTATGAACTGAGAAACATTCTTCTACCTAAACAGTTAAAACGTTGTATTTGGGAGTTAGTCTTTTCCTTCAGAATGAGTCCATAAAAATTCTTTTAATATAGAAGTACTAAAATAATGCCTCAGACAGAAAAAAAAAAGAGAATCTCAGTTTCTGAAATTTAATTCTGATTTCTAGTTTGAAGAGTAAGGAAGTAAATGGAGGAAATGACATAAGCAATATCCAGAGCACATTTTAGATCCAGTGCAATACGCTATCCCTTGAATGTTTGCATTTGGATATAATGAGAAATTTTTCATAATAATGGTGACCCTTAGATCACAAAGATCCACAGTCATTAAAGAAATACTTAATGATATTTCCTATATTGCTTATGAGTATAGGAAAACTATTAAAGCATCTGAAAATGTTTTCAATAATAATTAAAACAAATATATATTTTGCTGATCCCTGATCCACTGGCAAATCCAGAACATCCCATTTCTTGAGCATTCTTGGTTATTAAGAGTTTTCCAAAAATAAAAAATTAACATCAAAATCACTCTGAGAGATGTATAACTAACCTGTGGTATCCGTTGTCCATTGTTCATCATCATCAAAGTGGGCATCTCCATTAATCCCTGGCCCAGGGGCATAGGCATGAGCCAAAACTTTTCCAGGTCCATCAAAAGGGTAAAAGTCTCCATGTTCTAGTAAAAAAAAAAATTATTGGAAAGATAGGTAATGAGGATCTGTTTTGAGGCTTTTGCAGTACAAAAACACCAGATAGATAAATGGATGCATTTCATTGCATTTCATGTGTTTTTGTTTGTTTCTTTGTTTGTTTTTACCTCTAACTGCAAAAGAGATCATTATATCAGCCTCTCCTTCATACAGCCTGGAGAATGTGAGTGGAGTCACCTCTTCCCAGACTTTCAGAGCTCTCTCAATGGCAGAATCAACAGCATCTTTTGGCAAATCTAGTGTATAATTCACAATCCTGTAGGAGAAAAATTGAAGCAGTTGCTATTTTCTCCTATGGTATAGTTTATAAAATTCTAATCTTTTGTGAAAACCTCTCTGAACCATTACCTGTATGTAAGGTGGGTTTTCCTCCACTTTGGCATGCCGGGAAAGGTGTTGAAGTGACCAACGTCAGGAACTCCACACCTGGGCTTACGCATCACCTCCAGAGTGTCAGAGTCCAGCTTCCCTGTCACCTCCAACCCAAGGAACTTCTGCATTTCTTGGATTTTTTTAACAACAGGACTACTGTCCTTTCTTCTAACAAACTGTTTCGCATCTTTTTCGAGGTTGTAGTAGTTTTCTAGGTATTGCTAATAGAATAAGTATAGTTTTCAGGTCATTCTTACAATTTTAAGCTATAGCTATTTATAGTAAGTTTTTGCAGTTGCTCACTTTTCTTAATCTATTTGGAGTCTCTAGTTTGCTGAAATAATGTCAAATTTTGTAATATGATGCTAGCAACATAAATATTTAGCTAAAATTACATTGCATTAAAAAAAAAAAAAAGATGTTCCAAAGCAAGATATGGTTCATCCACTCTCCACTTGTTATCCATGTGCCTTAAGCCCCAGTGCTGTTACTGCTATGGTGTTGTGGGATTTTAAGAAAACACCTAACATTTCTGACCTTTGTTTCTTCCTACGTAAGAGGAGAAGCCCAAATGGTATGATGATGAGACCCTTTCCACTTCTAACACTTTATAACTCTCTATTCCTGAGCTGTTCCTACATAGTAAGCTTAAGCATTCTATGTGGGTTTTAAGACACACAGAATGGTTTGAACTTACTGTGGAAGCTCCTCATCTGGCCAGGTCAGTAAGTGTTAATTACCTGAACAAGGTCCATTCTGGCATCCTCATCCCTTGCAGCTCCATCCAACGGATAGGCTGAGCAAACTGCCATGCAGCACAAAAGTAGGAATGGAAGACTCTTCATTTCCACCAGCTTTACTTAGCTCTATGTTGTCTCAACGCCTTGCTGTCTTGCCTGCCTCCTTGTAGGTCCACCCTCGGGAGCCCAGCTTTTAAAGAGTGACAGTGTTTGTTTGGATCATCCGCAGCTTGACTCATCCTTGCTTTCATCCAAATGGCAGTAGGACCATTTCCAAAAATTTCAAATTCCAAGGATGATACAACCTACTTTACTAATTTCTCTTAACCTTCCCAAATTTGCAAGGCAAAATAGTGATTAATCTCCAGGAAGTGCTTCCTGTCTTGGTAGAGGAGAAAACTGGAGCATTTTTTTTTTCCTCTGGAAAAATTGACTGGAATTCACTAGACAGTTTACGTTTGTGTTTTTGACAGAAGTAGGCTGACTTGGTAAAACTCAGAATTGTGCAGAACTTCTAAAAGCAGTTTTATTTTAAGAAAAACATTATAAAAGCAAATAAAATACATAAGTAAGAGAGAAGTGTACATATATAGCTATAGTCTATACTATATACAATTATACTCAAAACATAGAAGATAATCTAGAGGGAATTTGGAAGGGGAGATTTATTTTTTTTGATTCTGATTTGAAATGCCGGCTATTGACTGTGGCTGGATTTGCTGGTTCTTGAGGAGGAAAACCTCATGGGCAGAATAGAACAAAGAGGGTCTGTGAAAACGAAGGAAGCATATTCCCTTTGGGTTGGTTTTAATTCTGTACCTAATTTATTAATGGCTGATGGAACCATGTAGCCGCTCCATAAATACTTGTAGAATTGAAATGAATTACGTTGTTCACTGGACTGAAATTCTCTCTGTCCTTGTCGTCTATACATGTCTTATTCTCTTTCAATCTCTTCCCATCCTCCCTAAATTCAAATTAGCAGATGCTTTGAAGTTGAAAAGCAGAAGCCATCCTAAATTCTCTGCTCATACTCTTCTGTTTTCTTCATTTCCTTTCTTTTCTGTTTCTTTGTTAAGTAGAGTGTTGCTCACATCATTGGTGTATAGTAAATGCTTGTAGGCGAGACTCTAAACATATTCAGAAGAAGAAATTTTGTAAAACTTTTTATAGTCCTTCTGCCACCTGCCACTACCCATCTCCCCGACACTTCCCTGATCACCACATTTTGTTTGTTTGTGTTTTTTGCAACATAGTTTTGCTCTGTCACCCAGGCTGGAGTGTAGTGGCATGGTCTTGCCTCACTGCAACCTCCACCTCCTGGGTTCAAGCGATTCTCTTGCCTCAGCCTCCTGGGTAGCTGGGATTACAGGCACATGCCACCATGCCTGGTTAATTTTTATATTTTTAGTAGAGACAGGGTTTTACCATGTTGGTTAGGCTGGCCTTGAACTCCTGACCACGTGATTCCCCCACCTAGGCCTCCCAAAGTGCTGGGATTACAGGTGTGAGCCACCACTCCAGGCTATTTGTTCTTTCTTTGCTGACTTATTTGTTCGCTAAAGGGAAGAGCATCTTGGGAGTGAGAACTCAGTAAAAGGATGAACACAAATGTGCATTTAGTAGACGTTTAATAAGTGCCCATTTTGCTTCCTCTTATTTACATCTCTTTTGCATTTTCTTCTTTGCTTCATTTTTTATTAAGAAAAATAAACATTGAAGAAATGTTACCCAATAAATTTAAAGAGATTTCTCTGTGATAATAAGATCACTATGACTGAAGATGCCTAAACAGGTGATAGCCACTTGGCAGGGAGCTGTATATCACATTTAAGCCTTCATTTTTATACTAGATTATGTCTAAAGACTTTCTAAAATTTTATTTAATAAATAGAGACAGGGTCTCACTATGTTGCCCAGGCTGGTTTCAAACTCCTGGCTCAAGTGATTCTCCTGCCTCAACCTCTCAGAGTGCTAGGATTACAGGCATGGGTTACTGAACCTGGCCTAAAGACATTTTAAAAACAGTATTCTATGGTTCTCCATTTCTTTAAGGAACAAAAAAAAAAAAAAAACCTACGTCTTGTCCTGATTGAAATAAAGGGAAAATATTTGGCCACACTGATATGAGGACAAGGAGAACAGAATGGTGGCAGTGATGTGAATTCCAGGAAGAAACAGTGGAGCCCAACAGATAAAATATTGAGAAGTTAGAAGCACAAGAGCTGTGGCAGCTCTAATTTCTTCTAGATTATCCTTTGTAAATTTTCTCTGGAATTATAACTTATCAAGCATATTTAAAGTTTAGAAGAAAGCCTGTTAGATAACATGTTTGTTTTTTCAACTGTTAAGATGTAATTGGCAAAATGAGCCATGTCATTCCTGAACTAAATACAAAAGTTTGCCATATTTTAAAACAGCTTCAGTGACTTCCCTGGGAGATGTTTCCCAAGTCCCAGAAGAGTCATTAATTGTTGTTCAATGGTATCTTGTACCTGCCTCTGCTACTGCATTTTCCACACTGAATTGTGGCGAATTGGTTTATCTGTCTCATTCTAATGTAAGGTACTTGAGGGTATGGACCATCCCTCATTTGATTATGCATTCCTAGTACTTAGCATGGTATCTGACACATAGTAGGTAACCAAAAATTACTTAGGGAACTAAATAATATGAATGAAAGGCTCACAGCAAATGTTAAACAGGTAAATTAAAAGTGAAAAAAAATTACAAATCATGCAGATGTTTCTAGATTTGCTGATCCTACATGTCATATATTCTAAAATACTCTAAAAACTAAATTTTTAAAAAGTTTTATTTCCATAAGATAGAGCTCTCGTCTAAAGTCTCTCTATTATATAATTGAAGTCCTCATTCATATGTCTCCAGAACACGCAAACTAAAATTGTAGAACCAGGAGTTTTCTAACCATGCATGAGATAGTGAAATTGCATTTTATAGAGTACGTTTCAAAAACCAATGCAGTAATGAGAAGGAATAGGTAAAATTAAAAAGCAACTGAGTGTAAGAAGGAAGGGAGGGAGAAGGAGGGAGGAAGAGGAAGAGGGAAGAGGAGGAGAGCAAACACTCCAGATGTAGATGGAGGTTCTGAATACCAGGGGAAAAAAGTGGGCACTTCCAGCAAGAAATGAAAATGACTGTTCCACAGAACAATCACTTGTTATATGATTAAATATATACAAGGGTCAGATAATGGCTAGTTTTATATATCTGACCTCTCAGGGATCAAGGCATAGGATTAAATTTACATTAAATCTAATCCTTGGATTTAAAAACTGGCAGTGAGGCCAGGTAACATTCTGTCTAATAACTTTTCACATTTGTCTTCCTATTTGTCATGCTTCTTCATAACTAATCAAACATGATCATGCATGACCCTTGCTACCTCCAGCTGATGTAATCATTCTTTCAGCTATACATTCATTTATCAAGGGCCTGAATCTCAAGAGCTTCAGAATACCCAAACTAAGAGTATAGATTTGGAGATAAAATTTAGAAGATCAATTTAGTTAAAAAAAGAAGTAATCAAAATAGCTATTTAAAAGCAGGAAAGAAAGAAGGAAGGAAGGAAGGGAAGGAGGGAGACAGAAAAGGAAGGGAGGAAGGAAGGAAGGAAGGGAGGGAGGGAGGGAAAGTTATAACCTAGCTGAGTAGAGAATCCCCTGTAGAATTAATTCTATAAGAAATAGGCCTGATATGGTGGCTCCCGCCTATAATCCCAGCAGTTTGGGAGGCTGAAATGGGAGGATTGCTTGAGCCCGGAAGTTTAAGACCTGCCTAGGCAGCAAAGGGAGACCTTAGCTTCACACAAAAAAAATGATAATTAGTCAGGTGTGGTAGTGCATGACTGTGATCCCAGGTATTTGAGAAGCTGAGGCAGGAGGATCACTTGGGCCCTGGAAGCCAGCTCTGATGGTGCCACTGCACTCCAGCCTAGGCAAGACAGCAAGACCCTGTCAAAAAGCAAAAGAGAGAAGGAGAGAGACAGAGAGAGAGAGGGGAGAGAGAGAAAGAAGAGAAGAAGAAGGAGGAGGAGAAGGAGGAGGAGGACGAGGACGAGGAGGAGGGGAAGAAAAAAGTTGTACAGGAATTAAGCAGCAGGTATTTACTTTAGGGTTTCCTTTAGAAAAAACTCATAAAGTAGCAGATAAAGTGAGCCTGGAATGATTTGGGGCTTCTTGGTCTTTTGGCTAGATCAAGTGTAGAAATGGAGGAAAATTCAGTAACAGAGTACACGAGTATACAGAGTCAAGAAGAAGTCTATATGAAAAATGTCAAAGAATTACTTTTTATTGGAATAAAAGGTATACAAAGGGTAATAATGAAAAATAAAAAATAAAGTTGTGAAAAGATAGGTTGGAGCCCAGTCACAGAAGACCATTACTCTGTAGCTAAGGTGCTTAGAGTTTATTCAATTATTGGTGGAAAGCTATGTGATATGGTTTGGCTGTGTCCCCACCCAAATCTCATCTTAAATTGTAACTCCAATGATTCCTATGTGTCGTGGGAGGAACCTGGTCGGAGGTGGTGATTGAATTATTTATGTTGGCCTTCTGTGTGCTGTTCTCACAATATGAATGAGTCTCACAAGATCTGATGGTTTAAAAAATGTGTGCTTCCCTGCACAAGTGCTTTTTTTGCCTGCTGCCATCCATGTAAGACATGATTTGCTCCTCCTTACTGTCTGCCATGATTGTGTGGCTTTCCCAGCCACGTGGAACTGTAAGTCCATATTAAACCTCTTTTTCTTCCCAGTCTCTGGTATGTATTTATCAGCAGTGTGAAAACAAACTAATACACTTGTTTCTACAAAACATTTTAAGTGAATTTTATTTACTTAAATAAAATATTATCTGCTTATTATAGAAAATTTAGAATATATAAAAAGTAGAAAGAAGAAAAATCATTTATAGTCTTGTCACAAGGAGAAAAACACAGCTAACACTATTAACTATGTACTTTCTTTAATTTTTTTATACCTGTGTATTATTTTTTGCATCACGTTGATCATGGGAATTTATAAAATTTCATTTGTATTTTCCACATTTGAATCTCACTAGCTGGACAGAAGTACTAATAAGGCAACATATTCTATATGAATTATAGGGTCATGTTACTCAGACTGATCTCAAATTCCTGGGCTTGAGTGATTTGCCCACCTTGGTCTCCCAAAGTGCTAGGGTTACAGGCATGAGCCACTGTGCCTACCAATAAAATATTTTGATACAGGTATGCAATGTGTAGCAATCACATTGGGGTAAATGGGGTGTTCATCACCTCAAGCACTGATCATTTCTTTGTGTTATAAACATTCTAATTTATTGTTTTAATTATTTTAAAATGTACAATAAATT